CGGTTCGATCACTCCGGGCAGACTGTGAGGACCCCGGCCTCAACGTTATTATTGGTAATATCAGCCTTGGGCACCGGGCCCTTTTTATTAAAAAAAAATAAAAAAATAAAAATAAAAAATCATACGAAAGAACCTATACTACTAGTCTAAGACCCCTTACACCTTAATACTTGGATACAGAACTCCTTCACCAAGTTCACCTTTATTAGGAAACAACAATACAGCTTCGTTCTCCTGCATCGACTTCTTTGAAGTTCTTTCTAATCTCAGAATCCCTCAAAGGTACATTGCAAGACAGCCAGGTAGCAACGGGCCTACGTCAGTCGGCTGTACTTGGTATGCCCACAAACTATTTTTTGAAATAGAGACCCAGGTTCCAATCCAGATTCAATCAGATGATCAGAACAAAATAATTCTGAATTACCTATGGCCGGTCAGTTCAATGATGACATCTCAAGGTCGTCGGACTTTTTTTTTTTTTTTTTTTTGAAAAAGTCAGTCAGTAGCTCCCACTCCATTTCACAAGGGTCTCAAACAGAAGGCAACTGTACTGAATCTTTGATTCTCCTTGACAGGCCATATGGGAAGGAGCTTCTTTCATTTCAACAACGCCCTCCTAACTTTAAACCGCCAGTACTTGGACCAGCTATTGGCCGCAGAAAACAACAGGGTAGAAACATTTCTAGTCGGATGAATTTGGGCGCTCCTGTAGTGGCCTGTACGTTTCCTAAAATTGTGGCTTGTTAACGGGCACAACTTAAGGAAGTAATTGTGGTTTAAAAGCCAAGGCTGTACGGGACAGGTGGGTGAAGCACTCAAAGCAAGGGAAACAGAATTGAAAGCTCAGTGCACTACAATGCCAGAAATCTAAGATCAATTTCTGACAAGTTGCTCATAGAGTTCAGATGGTTGCACTTCGTGCCTGACCCTAAGCAAGGATGCAACCAGGTAAAAGAACATGAAGCAGCATTACATATGAGACCCAACAAAGCACCTGGTATAGATCGGCTTAAACCACCAGTACTTGGCCCAGCTATCAGCCGCGGAAAAAAAGGTAGTCTAATAGTAGAAACGTTTCTAGTCGGATGAATTTGGGCGCTCCTGTAGTAGCCCATACATTTCCTAAAATCGTGGCGTGAGGGCACGACTCTAGGAAGTACTGGTGGTTTAAGATCATTTTGGGCAGGTAGTTGGCCCCTGCTAGGTCCCAAGCTTCTGCTATTCCTAGGGTAAGCTAGAAAAAAAGAAAGCTTTTGCGCAGAAATTAGCACAGAAGTGGTCACACTTTTACACAGAAAACGTAGCAATGAAGACGTATGTATCTACAGACCGATTTCCCCCAAAGTGTCTCCTGCAAAATTCTAGCTAAGCTCTTTGCCAATAGAATAAGACAGATCGCCAGGAAATGCTTCCATCTAGACCAAACAGGTTTCATCCCGGGTAGGTTCATCCGAGACATCATCATGGCTCATGACTCATGAGTCATGACCCTAAGTGGGACCGTGACATTAACGAGTGAAAAGCGAGTTATGACACCAACCCTGATGACACTGCTGTCTGGGAGACGGTGGTGGACATGGGGCACGTCTGCACCGGAGAGGCAGCTGTGACGGCCGATCTGACTATTTAATGTGTCGATAACGGAGCGGAAGAAGAACTAGAAGGGAGGCAGCGGGCAGAGGTGATTATGCAGCAGAAGATGGAGGTGCTGTTACCCATGCTGGCGATTGGGAATTAGCAGAGGGAGAACCACTGGAGAAAGGGGACGGTTACTGATTAGCTCTCTGCTGAGCTTGACAAATCGGATCTCTTTGTCATATACCACCTCTATCAACACATGCTGTAGGAAGCGCTACAGGGCTATAGGAAATCACGAGGATATATGGCAGAGTCGGCAGACTACATGTGTGAAAGGACCCAATGCACGGTAGAGCTCTCGATTGTTTCAGTGGTGGTAGTGGTGCAAATCCTTCCTGCCTAGGAGGTAATCAATGCAGTTTTTGCAAGTTCCCTTGCGCGCTCGGCAATAATGGAGGGAAGCATGGAGTGTGTCATCATGTGAGACATGCTGGATCCAGTTTTGGGCAAGGCAATAAAAATCGAACCATTCAAAAAAAAAAAGAAAAAAAAAAGGACAACGTTGGTCACCTGGTGTCATACGTTACGCAACATGACTCCAAGTGAAACCTGGTGCAATTTTGTCCCATGACTGCCATCCTAGTGCCACCTGGGTGCCACTTTGGATCGAGTATTGATCTTGTGTATGGAAATCACAGACTCCTGCCAGGTGCCAACTTGACCAAAGTGGGCAGTTATTACAAGTATCAGCATCACACAAGATACAAATAGACCGAACAGGAAAACCACTACACACAAAGGTCATAAGCAACCACATTGACATACAGGTGAGCACTTGTCATGACACGTGTCAGCTCCTTTGGTGACAGGTCAGGCTTGATTCCTAGTGAGTTGATCTTGGAGTTCAGCTTGTTGGGTATTAGCAAACACTTAGCTGGCCACACGCCCTTGCATGCGCTTGGTTGAGGTGTGACTGGTGCCGTGAAGCACCCCTCATGCTTGAGGTGTGAAGGCACTTTGAGTCTGGGTACACCACGTCATGGATGAATATCCATGCTGCTGGGTTGGGTTAAAATATCCCTCAAGGACCTTCACTCCCATCTCAACTCACTTTACCTATTGCTTTAGGTGTTCACCTCTCTGGTGGCAACTCACAGGGTCTATTCCCAGAGAGTCGATCTTCAAGTTGGACTATAGCATTAGCAACACCATGACTGACATACGAACTTGGACTATAGCATTAGAAACACCATGACTGACATACGACAATGGTCGACTGATTGCCTTGACAGACAATTTTTAACCCCATGCCATTCGGCACTAAAACGACTCCTTGATACCTCCTTATCAGTTGCAAAATCTGAGATGCGCAATCAGTTCACAGTTTAGTGAAGGGATCATAACAGAAGCGTTAAAACTGTCGAAAAAATCGCAACAGCAGATTAAAAACTATCTCAGTGACATTATCAGCAATTATGATTGAATTACCAGCAATTGTGTTTAAAATTTTAAATGACTGCGAAGTTTTGACTCTTGAGACCAAACAAACGTATTGACGTCAGCCAACAGGTAGAACAAGAGCGTCACACTCATTCATGATCATTCTGCAGTGGCAAATAGCTCTTTTGTACTCGGTTTGTAATGAGTGCACGATAAGTCAGGCCCAGGACTTTTTCTGGCGAGTACTGATTACCAATCTCGGGGGGCTGTTCCATTTCCACATCTGCATGTAAAGAACTAGGCCGCTGCTGTGGTTGCTCCGCTCCATCCTCCTCCCGGTCTCTGTTTTCCTTGCCATCCTTATTTTCTTCGCTATGGTTCACCCTTGGTTGCTTGCGTGTCCTCGTTGCAGAGCCCGCCGGATCGCTCGGCTCCAACTCCAAGTGTCGTGTAAGAACAGCCATTTTTTGTGCGCAGACTTTGGGCACAAATTTCCCTTCATAAGGATCATAACTGACGACGTCTGAAGATGATGGCAAGCTGAAGCAGGTTTTCAGCCGTTGGGCATGAGCGTTAGCCTTTGGTCCATGATTGAACATCGAAAATGCCAACAGACAAACCGCACAGAGATCAGAAGAGGCAGCAGGGGGAACTCATTCAGAAGCCCTGAATGACAGAGGAACTGTGATTGTCAAACTTGAGTCCATACCTTTGCTGAATGCTGCAGTTGTGCTCATTGTCACTGACAGAAAATAATCCAACTTCTTTGAGCTTTCTTCTGTTTGTCCTGTGCTCATCTTCTGCTCTTCTGGATTGCAGTTCTTGTTACTAATTACTAACTAGTAATTAGTAATCAGTAATAATTAGTAATTAGTAATCACTCAATCACAGTCGATGATTTGATATTATGGTTTTGGACTTTTAGTTCTTAAGCAATTGTTTTGTTTCCAAGCTATGGACGGACACGCCCGTGCCCAGCTGGGTGGGTACCAGGGCAACCTCCCCCTAACCCCGGCCGCCCTGAGACCAGCACGGTTTTGAAGTTGTTTTCACAATCATATTAAAATTCTCAAAGTGCTTCGTTGATTGCAAAAGAAATATGCATCAAATTGGAACAAAAAGCATCATTCCGTCAAATCTGTAGATCTTATTTTCCAACAGACTGAAAAACACAATTATGCCGATCGGAATCCACATTAGTTGTAATGCCAGATCGGAATCCGCATTAGTCGTGATGCCACATCACCACGTGCATAATTCAACCGAATACGAACGCAATACCCTACCACCTGAGTTAAGCCGCTCCATTTTCGTTTTCCCTTGTTTTGTGAGGTTTCTAGAATTTGTGTCAAGGTTAATGATCATGCCAATGGACAGGATACTTGATTTAAAATCCCTTTTAAACTCCCCCAGCCCTCCCAAGACCAACAGATCGAACTAGAAGTTCCAAATGAGCTAAAGGTGTTGGGGGTTTGCCGGGGGAACGCACTAGGTACGCAGCCTGTGGTTGGACTTTCCTCCTGCAGCTACTTTCCTCTAAGAACAGGGACTTATTACTCAGAACTTATGGACTCCTGCGCCAAAGATTCCCTTCTTTTTATTTTTTATTTTTATTTTTTTATTTTAAGAAGGCCCAGTGCCCAAGGCTGATATTATCCATAAGAAGATTGAGGCCGGGGTCCTCACAGTCTACCCGGAGTGACCAAAACAAACTTGCTGAGAACTGGGCTCAGCATCCCTCATAAACCTTGCGCCAAAGATTCCCATATCTCTGAAACAAAAAAAAAAAAAATGGCCCTATACACTTTTGCCAAGGACTGTAGCGACTGGGTGTGGTGACCCATGCCCTTTAATTTAATAACAAAATAATGCTCGTGGGATTCCTTTCCCCAACCTCTCCCACTCTCACCTTCTCACCCTCTCTCCCCCCTCCCCCCCCCCCCCCCCCCCCCCCCCCCCCCCCCCCCCCCCCCCCCCCCCCCCCCCCCCCCTCTCCTCCCAATCCTCCCCATCCCTCCCTGACTCCCTCTGCCTCCTCTTTCCTTCTTGAGTCTGATCGGATGACAGTCTCAGGTTACTGTTCTTAGCCGGTTCAACTACCGTCTTCACCCGAATAGAACGCCCGACCATTATCGATGTGTATCTAGACTGAAAGTTGCCCCAAATACGGCCATAATGACCCAGAGCTCTATTCGAGCGAAGACGGTAGGCCCAATGTGCTTAAACGACCATACATTTGCACAAGACATATGGAGAGGGATGCCTTCTTCTGGTGAAAGGGATAGAAAAAAATTGTACCCTGATCGTGTCAGCTTGGCCTTGACGGGCACGCAGTATGTCTGATGTATTCCTCATCCACCCCTGGAATTCCTCCTGGCTTATCACAGTCCTGTCATCGATTATGGGTGCTTTACTTCTCCTTCCCCTCTTGTGCTGAGCTCTTTGGACCTGTTGTGGCTTCCTGTTTTCTGCGAGGTTCTCATTCGGCTACACCAAGCACACACAATGCCCATAACGTATCGTAAGTCAAACTGGAAACCATCAATCGAATCATCCGCAGACGCCCATAAATAGTTGAGTCTTCCAAAATTCTATAGATGACAAGGATCAAACAAAAGTTCGGCAACGGAACCCTGGGGCCCTGACCAAAGGCAGTGAAAATGGCAATCTCTTACAATCACATAGCTTCAAATTTCATAGATGGGGACATGGAGACAGCGCGCATGTGACACCATGCTCACTTCCCTTCTGTAACCCTCTTCCCAGACTATGTGCCCCAGTTAAAGACTCCATCTCCTGTTCATTGTAAGCTACATCGCTGTATTACCGGACCCCAGCTACGATGACATGAAGAAGCACAATGTTCAGTAACCTCAGTGTCTTAGGTACATATGAGAGAAGCTGACAATGCCTGACATGCCAAAGCGGTGCCTGCCAGCACCACTCAACAACTGCCGTCCCTGCCTCCCTCCCTTGTCATTCTCAACTGCAACCTTATGGCTGAGGCTCCATTCTATTATTGGGAGTATCGTTCTGGCTCCTCTTCCACAGACAAGTCAACAATAGTACAAGTCAGAGAAAATCGAAAGCTTCTTGTAACAATCGCTTTGCATTCTTTTTCAATTCTCTGTGATCGCTTTGCATTCTGTTCCAATTCTCAGTGCGCCCCTTTCTCAAAAACAAGACCTCTCCCTCTTTCTCTTGAGACTCGTTCTTTCTTCCCTGCTCACTATCGACTCTCAAATTCTCAATGCCTTTCCCCACTTCTTGTCTCTTGCTCTTCTCTCTCTCCTTCTTGCCACTCGTACTTTCCTCGTGTTCTCCTGCTTTCCTCTTCTTTCAGGGCGCCGAATACGGTGCACTGTGTCCACTTCCCTCATCCCCTCCTCAGGCACACTTCAATGGACGAAGGGTGCAACTCACTTGGCGTGTGGTCCACCCTCTGGGCCAACAGCGCATGTTGCTAGCGCTCACCGATGTCATTTGTGCTTTCCCCCTGACAAGGGTTGACGATCTGGATCCACATAAGCCCCACCTCTATCCCCTCCAACCTGTATCTACGAACAGGCGACAATTTGGAAGTAAGACTGCGACAAAAACGAGTTTGATCCCCTTCAGTTGTGGGATTCGAGAAGATCCCACACTGACTTTATCCTTCATCACATGGTATGAGAACATGTTCCGTTAAAGATGGAGCAGTGATCACTGCAATCCACAGACTGTGACACCTTTTGCTCTTCATACACGTGCCTTTCCGAATGAAAAAGCTGGCATGGGATTACTGAAATCTCAACCGTCAAGGACGGCAACAGTGTAGCGGAGTTTGAAAATCCGTGCGATGGCCATGTTTCTTATGTTTATTTATTTTTGGGAAGAACATACATACCTGTGGTGCCTGTCAGTGGCGGCTCACATATTTGGCAGTTCCAGCGAATGAATGGCTTGATGTACACAGGAAGGAGTACCAGTGAACAGAGGAATCACCTCGCTGCTGAATGTGCACCCAGAGAGATTTGGAATCCCTGATGCATTGCCTATGAGAGTGCCCACATGTGAAAGCAGTGCGGGAAAGAAAGGAGACTTCAGCTCAGAAATCATAGGAGGAAGCCAGGGAAATCATCAAGACAGATAAAGGGAAGAATGAAGAAAGGTAGTAGGAATGGTTTTCCGAGAATCAAATTACGATACAGTACTCTTGAGGAAGAATTGCTGATGCAGGGGAGCATAACACAGATTAAGGCAGAACTTCAAAGCTTAAAGATTGTTGTCAAGTGCATCAGTGAAGGGATGGTAACGAGCTGGAAAGTGAGTACAACGCGGATGGGAACAATAAGCAGGCAGGCAGAAGGAGCTGGCTCGTGGCTCCTGGTTGTTCATGGCATCTGATGCACATGCGACAACAGGTGAGCTGTATGAACAGGTTGAGAGCAACCTCAGTATATGTCGTGCTTTCAGGCCTGTGTTCTGCAGGGATGAAACGAAGGGTGAAGAGGGGATCTTGAAATCGGGACACGAGCGACAGAAAGCCAACCATCTTTTGTTAAAGGCAATCAATGCTGTCAGGGTTCTTCTGGCTGTAAAGAGCGGAAGTGTCTGTGGGCTTACTTGTATTCTCCTCGTATTCAACATGACGCTGATGGAAAAGAAACTTGACTGATCCTCCCTTGAATAGATTTTGGAGCCAGGACCATAAGGCCAATCACGAGGTGAATCATGCGTACTGCAACTTCAGTGAAATCATTTGAGTCAAAGACTGAAAAACATTGGTCGAGTTTGGAAATATTTTTATTATTATTATACAAAACGGGACGTTACGGTTCTGGCTCTGTATCCATTAAGGGGAGTGTCAATCCGGCTCCTATTCCACGGCCAGGTCAAAATTACAAGGTTCACACGCTGCAACGCCTCTCCCCATTACGGTTGAGAGAGCCTAGTAGGCAGCTGCATTGATTTCTTTCGGAGGGAAGGATATACCACCCCTCACCCCTGCCTAAGTTAGCCTGTTGGTCTATTCTGATAATCAATCCGAAGCCAAAACAACAACAACAGCAACAACAACAACAACAACAACAACAACAACAACAACAACAAAACAAAACAAAAACGAAGCTATACTGACTGCCCGAGATGCCATTCCGCTGTGTTGAGAACGGGCCTCCCCAAGCGAGCTCGCGGTATGCCACTAGTTTGGAAATCTAAGGTGTACTGTTGTAGCCCCTTCCGAACGTATCTGCCATATGGATCGTGATGTGCATGATCTTTGGGGCAAGGCTCCACTCTATTCGTCGGGAGCAGCACGTGCTGGGAACCGGGCCCAGCGTCCGATATGGAAATCTACATCGAAGTTTGAAAGTTTGAGAAACCGGGGCCATTACCCGGCTTTGACTGAGAGAACTTTAAGAGAATTTTGAGCTACTTAGAAAATTACTACGACAAACTACAGAAAAAAGGTCTGCCCATGTGCATGATCTACACTGCGACAGTGCGGATTGTCAACCTTGTGTTTGACAGGACTGCAGACCAACCAGGGATTCGCAAACTCCACTCCCTTTGGGGTTCGGGGCGGTCCAGTGCGCTTATGCCAGGATAAATCATTCTTATCCTTGAGCACTGTGGTTTATCGTCAGGCTTTCTTTCCCTCTGTCCTCGAGTGCCCACCGCCACTCCCCCCTCTCCGCCCCATTCAAATGGTTGCCAGCACTCATGTTTACGAAGGATTCAAATTTCAAAGGTAAATCAATAAAAACAGTGAAGCTTGTCGCTTGCTCTGTGTTTCCGGGAATGGAAACCGTAGGGCGAGGAGATTTTTCTGCGAAGAGCGAAATTTTCATTTGATTTCTTTTTTGTTTGTGTGGAATAGAAATACTCACTGGTGCTACATCACAATGTTCTCCCTGCGGTGATGCATTTGGCACATTGACTGGTGTCTTTTCCGATGCGCCCTCTGGTGTATTGACTGATTTTTCTGCTGAACAACCCTCAGGCATGGCGCCATCCCTCCCAACTCCACCATTTACCTCAGTGCTTCGAGCCTGTAAGGGACTTTCTGCGTCTGGCATCAAGTTTTCTGCGCAGCACAAAAAATGCACAGTGCCATTAACTAAATCTCTGACCAGCAGCTTTACACAACTCCAACCTTGTGTAAATGATTAATAATTTAATACAGAAAGTTCATGTAATGAACCCAGCTTCAGAAGCTGACAATTAAATCTCACATGAACTCTTGAGTCACAACTTCACAAGGTTTGAACTTGGAATCAAATGATAAGAAGTATTAAGAACTGAATTGAGACAGCAGTGAACGACAAGACTGTGTGAAAACAAGACTGTGAAAAAGGGAGCAAAGTACAATGCTCAAATTGCTTCTCCCTCTTCTTGCTTGCGATTGCTTCTTGGCAGTTCTTGCACTTCACTTTATGTACTGGCTTGCATCTCCCCACTCCTTTACTCCCAATCTAGACACAATATCACCCGCCAAGTCAAAAATCTATCTACTGCGCTGTCCTGTTCCAGGCTAGAGCAATATTGCTGGAATTTGAAATGAAAATGTCTATTTTCTGAAACTATGTGGAGTCTCCTTCTTCAATCACGACCACACTGCCACCCTGAAGCTATGGAAGGGACTGACGGGTTCGCCAGGAGCTTTTTCCAGAGTAGAAAGGATGGTAATTGGGGAGGGG